ACTTTGCAATATTCCTTCTGCTCTGCAAAAAGCAGCTGCGGATAAAAATTCCTCCCAGGTCCAAGGCCGCGTTTAATCTCTCAGGTCGGAAAGCTTTTGTTGAATCTCACAAGAGAGTCTGTATTCCCAAGGAAATGAAGGCTCGTGGTTTTTCACGTCACCTTCCCCTTTGTAAATGACAACCACTTGCCTTGGTGTCTGTTCTTTTCTGATCTCTGTCTGCTCTGAGGGTTTCTCCGTGGCCTTAGTTTCCTTTCAAGGTAACCCTTCAAAGGAGCGTGGAGAATCAGACCCTGTGCAGGCCATGTGTGCTGCAGAGCTGCCTGTCTTGCTACGGAGCTGCTGTTGTTGTTGTTCTTGTTGATGTTATTGTTAGCCAAGCAACCATCAATTGCCCCGAGCACCAGAGAGTGGAGCTGAGTTTCAGATGTGCCGGAAGTCGTTATCTCTGGTTTGAAGTTTGCTTCTTGCATTTTGTTTCTTTCAGGGAGTGTTGTGAGTGTGGCAGATCCAAAACAGAAATACACTGGATGGAAATTTATTGGCAGTGGGTGAGTGCAGCCAATCATACTTCTGCAGAAGCATGGGCCAGTTCTTTTGCTGGTGCAATATCAAGTGGGAAGTCAGGCAAGCTGCAAGCTTCTTCACAGCCCAGCTTTAGATTGTCCCAGTCTCAGTCCTGATCACAGGGCATCATCAAAGGTAACTGCATGCTGACAATGTCTTGCCTGCCGCAAGAAGCAGGGCCTGGAAGCCCTCCTGTCCCTCAAGCGTGTGGCACCAGTTTGCTTCTTTTCCTAGGAGACATGGTTTTGTATGATTCCAAGTCATACAGCCACACTGATGAAGGAAGAAGAACCTGAGAGAGCAGCTTCCCACCTGAAGCTGCTGTCAGGTCACTGCTCTCAGTAGCATTTCCTTCCAATCTTTTGCTGAAAGCAATATTCCGTGCTCAGGACAATAAGAAAGGCTGTGTGGTGTTGCCCGAGTTTGGCAGATGGAATCAAAAGAGAGCGGGGAGAAGGAGGCCCAACAGGACTTTGTGTTTCATTGCCTGGAAAGGAACGCCACACACACAGACCCAAGAAGGAAAAGGCCAAGAAAACCCCTGCATCCATAACCTAGTGTGTACATTTGGGATTGGCAGTAGCCCTTTTTTCTTCCTGTTGGACTGAGCTTTTCTCTAGGACACGCTGCATGGCAGAGGACGGCTGGGCTGCTGTGCTATTGGCTGAAGAGGAGACAAAGCCCCGTGTTTTAGCGACACTCCGGGCAGCAGAGAGCTCCTGCCTGGGCTGCCTTTCACTTCTCAGCACTGAACGGCTTCTCTGTTCTTGGCTCTCTTCTGTTTCTAGGGGTTTTGGAACCGTTTATAAGGCCTTTGACGCTGCCACAGGACAAGCGGTAAGTGCCAAGAGCCCTCGCAGATTTTGCTGCTCTGGAGTGCTTTTCCTTGCAATGTGATCTGATGGCAGAGCTTTGGGCTGCCTGTCTTTGCTGCAAAGGCTGTCCCACACAAGTAGCTTGCTTAGAGCCTAGAGGCAGGCTAAAAATTTCACATTGCTGAGACTTGGCCTCGCATCCAGAATTAATGCAATGATAGCAGTGTTGTCTTTCAGAGAAGGACACACTAGCTTGGACTTACTGGATAAATATGCCTAGATTAGCTGATGGCAACAGCTGTCATTCTGGCCCGATTCCTCTCAAGCCTGCATTCAGACATAGATAGGATTTCCCACTGTATTCCATCATGTGGTTTGGTCTGAAAATATAATGTAGTACCTAAGGAAGGAGAGATCTTGTCTAAAGCACAGCTGACTGTGTTGCACTCCTGGGACACCTGGTTCACACACACACACACACACACACACACACACACACATGCACGTCAATGAGAAGGAGTTGATGAAGAACCTTACATAATACAACCTTGTGCTGGTCCTGTGTCGGTGACATTCCTTTATAGTGATGCTGTTTGTAGTGAACAGACATGGTGGTGCCTTGGAGAGTCCCACTGCTCTTTGGGGCTGAAAGTCCTGAATTCTCATTTCTGGCTCTCAGCAAATACAATTCCATCTTCCTGGTGCCTCCTTATCCACCTGCCGTGCTCAGGAACCACACTTGGAGGGAGGTCTACAAGGCATCCAAAAGCCCTAAACCCCGCTTATAACCTGGGCTGTATCCACAGACTACCACAGAAAGGATTATTTGTTTTAAAACCCACAAAATAATGACAATCTAAGCCATGTTCAAGAATGTTCTTCAGAGATGCAAACTCCAAACTGAAGCTGTTAGCATGTGCTAGGATTGTAACTTGCTTTGAGTCATCATGGAGATCTTTTCTGGGCAGCATTTTCTCTGTAATCGAGGTATGTATTTACTTTGGGGCACAATCACGAATGGCAGCAGTCTCTGAAAAGCTGGTCAAAGCCCCTAGAAATGCTAATGTATTTCCAGTGGTTTCAATTTATTTGCACGGGAGCAAAGTTGCTTTTGGCTTGCGAAACCTGTGTAAATGATAATAGCAGTGGTGATCAACAAAGTCCATTAGTGAAGTCTGCAGGTGCAGAGAGGGTTGTTAGCGCTTTGTGGTTGATAGTTTAGAGATTCCTTTTTTACCGAGGTGGCAAGGCATCCTGGCCTGCGAGCATGCAGACAAAGAGGCTCTTGTAATGTCTGTTCCTAATGGCTTTCAACGGCATTGTAGGTGGCCATAAAGAAACTCGATCTCCAGCAACAGGGCTGCGAGCAAGTGAAGAAAGAAATCCTGGTCATGAGGGAAATGAAGAACCCCAATATTGTCACCTACCTTGAAAGGTAAGCAGTCCTGGTATTTTTCTAGGAATGTTGTTTTCCATGCTTGCAAGGCAAAGGTTTAAAAGCTCTTTACTCACTGGCAGAAAATGGATCTTTCCATTAACATTCATCCACTCCTGGGCAAGGCATGGCAGGAGATTGCATTTTGTCCCCATGAATGGTTCCTGGCATAAAGAGCTTGAAGATTGTCCCCAGAAACCTGGCTCTCTTACTGTGCCAGCAGCCTGTGTGTTCACTCGCTGCATGTTCTTTTGCTGGTTTGGGGCTGGATTTTTCCCAAGGCTTGGAGGAGAAGTGCTGAGAAAGCATCACAGAAATTATTTCCCTTGCGCTGTTCCCACTATTATCCACTGCCTTGCAGGCCAAAAGAGTAGGCTGGGAGATACATAACTTTCCAGGTTTGAAATTGCTTTTGCCCGTGGTGACTGTCCTTTATGCACATTTTTCCAAAGGGTTTCCCCATTGCTGCAAACCTGCCTGTCCCGAATAAAAGCTGTGAAAACTGTGTCTCCTTCTTGCTGGAGATAATGGTGCAATTTGTGGATGGAGATGAAGAGGTAGCTGCTGGGATGTGTCCACTTCCAGATTAATCTTTGCCATCATAAAAATGCCTTTTTTCCCCTGCTTGCCACCTAAGCCATCTCCTTTGCTGCAGTTGTGCCTTTGTCATTTGGAAGGCACAGGCTGCCAGCAGTGGATAGCCTAGGTGCAGTGTGTCTTCATTGTATTCTGTCTTCATTTAGCAGTGACCTGGAAACAAAACTCTACCTTAGGCTTTTCTTCCAAAAGGCAATGGAGCTGTGCGCGTTCAGCTCTGTGCTGTTGTTTTCATCTTCCAGCTACCTTGCCAATGAGGCTGTGTGGCTGGTGTTGGAGTACATGGATGGAGGCTCCTTAGCTATGGTGATCCTCATGAAGACAATGGCTGTAGGACACATAGCAACTGTCTGTCAGGAGGTAAGGAATCCTTCTGCTTGTGCTTGGCATGCCTTGGACAGGCTCGACCTATGAAAGTGCTGCTGAGTGAGTGAATCCACGTTCAGAGCTTTCTTTCTGCGTTGTTCTTATGCTTCAGAGAAGAAAGAGCATTTTCTTTTTGCATGTGATGAAGTCAAATCAGGCTAACTTTTGGTCTCCTGTTTCTTCTTTCTCTCCCAGTGCCTGAGAGGCCTGGCTTTCCTTCATGCCAACAACATCATCCACAGAGACATCAAAAGTGGAAACATCCTTCTGGGCCTGGATGGCTCTGTCAAGTTGGGTGGGTATTCCTGGTCAGGCACAGCGCTCGGGGCAGCCGCTGTGGGGCTGCTTTTGAGTGGCTGCCAGGTGCCCAGCAGTGGTGCTGGTGAGAGTGCACAGAGCTCTCCTGCACGCTCGGGGCGCTGCTGCAAGGTGCTGAGAGGTCTAGAGAGCAGCAAGGCGTCAGGAGGAACTTTGGTTAGCGTGTGTCCTTTCCAGAGGGAGGGAGGGAGGTTCAATGTAAACCTTCAGGTGAAGGAGGAAAAGCCGCGGTGTGAATGGTGGTGGGTTTGTTAAGCGGACAATGCCCAATTTGCTTGGCTGCAGCCCTGAGGAAAGAGAGCACAGCTGCTTTTCCAGCTCAATACAGCACTGCATCCTGAGACTTGGAGTGAGGAACCCTTTGCCTTGGTTTCTTACTTCAATCCATGTTTGTTTGCTTTTCTCCTCAGCTGATTTTGGGTCTTGTGCTCTGCTCACCCCTGAGCAGAGTAAACGGAGGTCGATGGTCGGGACCACTTGCTGGATGGCACCCGAAGTTGTGAGGAGAGACCCATACGGCCCCAAAGTGGACATCTGGTCCCTTGGCATCGTGGGAATAGAAATGGCCAAAGGAGAGGCTCCGTATATTTGGGAAATCAGTTCCAAGGTAAGGTGCAAATACGCTCAGAAGCCAGTGGCCTTCAGGTCTGTCTCCATTAGACAAAATCCCATACCCACAGCTTCAAAGGGCTCCAAGAGGGCTCACTTGTAAAAGTGTCCTTGGGACCCACATAAACTTTCAAGGCGACACCTCCTGGATGTTGGAATAGCTGGGGCTGCACTGGAGGAGCCCTTTCTTCTTTTGGGAGACAAGGCTCATCTCAAAGCCTCTGCTGGACAAGAAATTGCCACTGCAGACTGCAGCTTAAAATATGGGGACTAGGTGAGCACTTAAGGATAGGATAAAACATATCGAGTCCCATGTTTCCTTTTTCTTCAGGCTACCTATCTGATCAGCACCCAAGGAATACCACATCTGGAAGAGCTCAGCCTACACCCGGGCTTGTGTGAATTCCTGGGCTGCTGCCTGCAGATGGATGTGGACAGGCGAGGCTCTGCCAAGGAACTTCTGAAGGTACAATGCAGAGCGGCTGCAGGCCAAACAGCTGTTCCCTGCCAAACAGGGTTTGCTCCTTGGCCCAACTCTGTAAGGCATCAGATGGGTTGTCCCCCCCATAGTAATCTCCGCTCTGGTTGCTTTTCAAATGAAAACCAAGCAGGATGCAAGACTGGTTGAGCTTGGAAGGGACCACTGAAGTTAATCTAGTCCAAACCCCCTGCTACTGGCAAGGACATCTTCAAGTAGATCAGGTTGCTCAGAGCCCCAGCCAAGCTGACCTTGAATGAGTCCAGGGCTGGGGCACCTGCCAGCTCTCTGGGCAACCTGTGCCAGCGTTTCAGCACTCTCCTGCTAAAGAGTTTCTTCCTTAGAGCCAATCTGAATGGACTCTCTTTTAGTTTCAAACCTTTTCCCCCTTGTCTCTTGCAATTGGCCCTGCTAATTAGATGTGTCCCCATCTTTCTCCAAAGCCCCTTCAATTATTGAACTTGTCTCCTCGGGGCTTGTCCTTCTCCAGGCCAAAGAAGCCCAGTTCTCACAGGTGTTCCTCAGAGGAGAGCTCCCAGCTTCTGGTCATTTCTGAGGCCCTCTTTTGCTCTCGGGTGCTGTTTTCAGGTTTACCTGCTAGCGAAGGAACTGAAGTATCGCAATGCTGGGGACAGAGGCCCACAGTGGCGTTTGGAAAACACAACGAAAGCAGTCCCTGCCAAGCGGTTCTAGGTTGATCTGTGGGAAGGCAGGGGCTGTGGGAGGCTGACTGTGAGCCTCAGAGGGGACCCAGCTTGTCCCTCCTGCCCCACTCTTAGAGGTTGCTGCCAGCCAAACAAGGACAGCTGAGCAGCATTTGTGCCAGCCCCATGTGCTACCTGGCCCGGTCAAGTCAGTGAGAAGCGCTGCGGCTTTGCTGCCAGCTTTTGTGTTAGACAGGGAGCTGGTGACCAGGCCACTTCCTCGGCTGTCCCTGCTGTGGTGGAAGATGCCAGCCAGCACAGGAGGGGCAGGGCATGCTAAGGAACACACTTCTCTCCTTGCAAGCCAAGAAGAGAACTGAGTCTATTTGCACTTTGCTGCTTGTGTCTGTGCATTTCTGGGCACTAGAGGAAACCAGCTTGAGCCTGTTAGGAGCTCAGTTTGGAAAAGAATGGTTTCTTTTGCCTTTGTCTCTTGTAATTTGGTTTCTTTTGTTCTCTTTCTTTCTTGGGCAGCATCCTTTTCTCAAATTAGCCAAGCCTCTCTTCGGCCTCTTCTGACAGCCCAATTGCTGCCATCCCTGCAGCAAAGTAATGCAGGAAACAGAGGAGATGGCAAGGACCACTTCAGCACTTGGAGAACAGAGCCTCTGAGAACAGGCAGACACCCTGAGGAGCGAGGGGCCAGGAAACAACAGGTGGCCATCAGAACAGGAGAGGAAGGTGGCATCTCCTTTTTTCCCATCTGCTAATCCCCCTTCTAAACTTCTGGTTAGGACAGCATTGCTGGAAGGCACAAAGTCATTCCTAATGTGCACTTTGCAGATGGGGGGTTGTGTGAGGCATGCGGCTTGCACCAGTAACTAAAAAACTACTTATTTTTTTTTTGTTGTGAGATATGGATTAAAACAAGAGCAAAACAGGCTTAAGACTTAAA